TTTTTAAAAAAAAAAAAAAAAAAAAAAAAAAAAAAAAAGCTGAGCTCAGTTCCTGAAAAGCTGACATGAGCTAAAATAATGTCTGCATTAGGGCAGCAAATTTTTGTGGAAGCCTGCTGTTAATTTATAACTTATGCCAGTAAACTAAATGTGACAGTAGCAGTGCATGAACATATACACTCAAGGTGAGACTTGTCACTTTAATGCATGTTATCACTGTCAAACTGGACAAACCTTCCCCAATACCACACAAGACAAAGTCTGTTCAGTAACAACAAATACAAATTTTTCTTTTTGCTTTGTTTTACAAGACTCAGATGTACAGACTGACAGCGGTGGGAGAACTGAAGTACAAGTAGCAATACAACAATGTAAAAATACTCCTCTACAAGCAAAAGTCCTTTTGAAACCCTAATTAAAAGCCAGTCAGTTTATATATCAACATATTTACAACACTCCCCGTACAGAGACTAAAACAATGACCTGGGCTTGCCCAAATGTCACTCTTAACTGTAGTGCAAGACATGTATAGAGCATCAGAAGATGGAAATACTCATGTAAAGCAGCCCTATTTTGCACTTGAGTACATTACCAGAGTCACTTTACACACCCTCTCATCACACACCTTTAAGTTGATTAATAAGTTTATTTCCAGAACAGACAGTGGAACAGTTTAGCACAGGAATGTTACTGCTCCCAGGGTGAGGCACAAACATACACTAACTGTCATTTAGCAGATCTGGAATCTGGAACGACTGCTCGGTCCGCTTCTCAAGCATCTCCAGAAAGAGCCACACCCCTCTGTACTCTTACAGCACGTTGGCGTCCCTTAATGCTATTGTCTGCCGCAGTCCCACCCAGATTCTACAACTAACCAAACATCTTGAATATTCACCTCAGCATGACCACTTTGCCTTTTACACCTCAACTTCACAGTTTCAGTACTTACACATCTTAACCTCTTTGCTTTAACCCCGTCTATAACCCTAATTCCACACTGCTGCATCTGGTTTTGCTTCTTCCTTCCATAAAGTAGTTGGAATGCACCACTCCCCCCCTGTTCTCCAAAACCAGAGAGAAGGATAGAGGGAGGAGCTCTAGTAATACTTGGAAAACACGTGTAAAGCCTTTTCATAGCACAAATACAGACAGAGCGTAAGTCTGCTGATGGTCCAGATCATTTTTCTCTGACCACCCACAAGCCTGTCAGTAGTAGTTTATCTGTTGTATATTCAGCTTCTGTATTTACTGTAGATTAGCAGGTAAGGTAAAGAAGCACTCAATCCCTCTGAGGCCTTGTTCACACTACAGCTAAAGTGTATATCGTGTATTTCAACTGGGGGAGACAAACAGCAGTAAAACATCCTTGGCTAAAAAAAACTGACTGAACTCCTGTGCAAATTAGCACAGTGGTGCATTTATGGGTGCAAACAGCCACAGTTTGTGCTTCTGACATATTAACGTTACATCTGAGTCACAGAGTTAGACACTGGATGCTCAAGACAAACATACACCCTGCAAAAGTTTGTTTAACAAGCCTGTTCTGAAGGTATTCCTAGAATCCTCGAGGGTCTGTTGCAGAACAATACTTTAACTTGTGACTGTGGTTCCTATTCAGGTTGCAAGAAGTGACGTATGCCTTTGCACAGGCACTAAACAGAAACATGTTAACTGCATGAAAATCTTCTGGGCATACAGTTTTCAGAAAATCTGATGTACAACTCTGTGACTCAAATGTTAATATGAGGTAAAAGTGGGGCAAGGATGAACAATAATGAACTGTGCAAAGCTCCCGGAGCGCTTCATTTGTCAAGGACAGCAGATTACAGTTCAGTTTATTCTGATTCTAAAGCAAGATGTTTCTTAGGATGATGCAGTTCAGAAACAATTTGAGGAAAAACATACGAGTTTCTCCAGGTTCTGCCTGGGAGTCATCTTGTAGCTGAGATTTACATACAAAGCAGATAATGCACCTCTCATAAACCCAGTGACACAGCTGAAAAGTCATTCAGCACCGAGTGTTTTCCATCATCCATATTCATGAGTGTAGGCACACACACACCCACACTCGCATACACAGACATCTTTTGCTGTGATTCAGAGCAAACAAACCTGGAGCTCCAAGTGGAAGTGAGTTTTTGTAAAAGCTGCAGCATAAAGTCATGAAGGCCACTTGCAATGAGTCACTTCGGTTTTATCCTTCATGTACTGTTGTAAAAATAAATGCAGCACACACACACAAGCCAGCAGAACCTTTGGCCTGTGGCTCTGACAAACATGTGCTCAAACAGACAATCTATGGATGACTGAGGCACAGACACCTTAAAAGCATAAAACTCAACCTGTTGAAAGCTCTTATTAAGACAAAGGTGCTGCTGTGCAAAGGGAAAAACGCTTCAAGGACAAACTGTCCATCAAACAGAGTACTCATGATGCCTGAACGTGAAATAGCAGCAAGGCAGCCTCTTTCCACACTGGCTTTTAAATCTAAAGACCATCTTACATCAGGACGTTAAATTAATGGAGGTTTATTCATTGAATTTTGTATTATTTTGTTTATAAAACACAACACAGAAATGTTTTTAAACTGACTAAAAAAATATTTCAGAGTAATTAATGTCCATTCCTTCTGTATGTGATGTGAATGATTTGGGCACTTTTGTGTTTTTAAAATCATATATATATATAAACTTGTTTTACTTTGGGTTTAGAGAGAAGTGAGAGGAGTTTATTATTGAAAGGATTTTCTTCAAATGATCAGAGTATTGGCTCCGTTTTCCAGTTTTCAGCCATTGAACACCGAGAGTTTACAGGCTTTCTTGATTTCCACAAAAGGAAAGGGAGGGGACCGATGACCAGTCATCTGGCTTGTTTTCGCTAGGAATGAGAAGCAATGTGCGTTTGAGGGCAGAACGCACATTTTCAGTTCAAGCACACACTAACCCATTACTTTCAATGCTTGATGTAATAAAATGAAAACAGCTTTAGGAGTCCTAGTGGCGTTGTGTGGGTGTGCGCAGTTAGCAGGCCTCTACTCACTTTCCTGTCCTTCACATCCTCCCCGACTGCCTCGACGACCCCGGAGCCCTCCATTCCCATCGTGACCGGTGGGTTGGGCAGCATGTCGTACAGCCCCTGTCTGCCCAGCAGCTCGGCGAAGTTCAGCCCGCTCGCCTTGACGCGTAGCAGGACTTCACCTGCCTTCAGCTGCGGTTTGCTTTCCGTCTTCACCTGCAGCTTCATTTTGTCGTAACCTCCGTGCCCCGTGAGGACCAGAGCGCGCCAGGAGATGGGCTTCTCCTCGGCTGCAGGGCTGCTCTCGGACTCCTGCGGTGCATCTGAAGCAGCTGGCGGAGGCTCATTCGGTTTCTTCTCCTGCTCGGGCTGTTGGTGCTGAGTTGGAGCCTCTTCACCAGACATGATAACCACTTGTGATGTGCGCTCTCTAGGGTTTCAGTCTAGATAAAATACTTCAGCCTGTTTGGGCGTTTCCTGGAAAAAAACACACTGAAGGGAAAATGACAGAACCCTGTGGAAAGCCAATGTTTCTAATACAAACTCTCAGAAAACACGACGATCCTATGGGGAGACAGCGGCTTCCTTTGCAAAGTCACATTTTATCTACTGCGTGATTTCCTGTGCGCGCACGGCTCAACAAGTGACCACTGTCAAGACAGACGCAATACAAATATAATGTCCGGTTATGGTTTTCACAATAAAACACCTCAGGGCTGTAAGATTTCATTTTCATTCTCATTTTGTAATATTTATTTTGTAATCTCAATTACGAAACCCTAAAATTGTAACTCAAAGGTAATTATATTAGTCAAAAATAGTTTTATATTATATTATATATTATATTCAAGGTGACAAAGCACCAGTTGTTAAAATAAAATAATCTGAAATTCTCATAAAGCAGACCTCACTTCACTTTTCACCTCTCCATACATTTCAAAACATATTAAAAAACGTGTCTAAAATAAATTAATGTAATACTGGCCATGTGCTTCTGTGTAGTTATCATTTTCCTCAGTAGCCTATCTATTGTGGACGGGATTCCAGTTTTATTTTCAACGCCAGATGATGGAACTTCCGCTGTTTTTCCAGCTGCTTTCCGCCAACTTGATGCAGCTCAACAAGTGACCGATCTGTTTTGTAGGGATCAGCTCAGAGATGAGGAGCGGAGAGCTTCAAACCCCGGACACCGGAGCACCGGGCAGAAGGGCTGGTTTATCTGAGGTCACAGCTGGAGGAAACAAACAGTGGAGCTCCCATCTGCCCAGCAGGAGTTAAACAGTCTTATGACTGTCTGGTGCGTAGCTACGGATGTGAATGAATTCTTGGGTTGTTGACCATCGCAGTGAAAATCATTCTAAAGAAATAGCTTCATTTTATGCAATTAAAAACGCCTATTTCGGGTTCAACTCCTGTGTGTAAGTTTGTGACATTTTAAAGTCATTTAAGAGAAAGAGAAAAATGCTCGACTTTCATTTGTAATTTAAAGTCACAAACTCCCATAAACGGTGATGCATGGTTCTAATAGAAAACTGGAGTTCATTGGCACATTTACATTCATAGTGGGACATAATGAAGGTAAATATTTCTAATATATTCTGCCCTCCAAAATGGCCACACTTGTTTCTGCAGCCCATGCACTGAGACAGCTGTGCACACTCACAGAGCATTGCATCCTGCTCCTCATCTTGTCATGGTGAGGGACAGGAAGTGAATGATGGTGAGAAAGATAAGGACAGGAAATTCCTTTTTGATATAGACACTTAATAAAGGTCGGAAGTTGCCTTGTACTTTTTCTTTAACTTCACGTAGGTTTATAGAAAGCTACAAAAGCACACGTACACAGTCGTGTCTTACTATAGTTGTGAGGACACTCGTTGACACAATGCCTTCCCTAGCCCCTTACCCTAACTTTAATCATCACATCCAAATGCTTAACCCCAACCCTTACATTACCCTAAGCCTACTTCTACAGTACTGAGGAACTTAAATGTTTTCAGTTTTATACTTTGCACATAAAGTGTTACAGACTAACCCAGTGAAATAAGACTAAACAGACTAAACTACACAGAAGGATATTAGCTAGCTGAAACCAGCCTAGAGACAAAGATACAATTCTGCTTACAATGCATTTACAAAGTGCCTAATACTATGATGCAGACAGGAGCCATTCTGCTGCATTCTAAGGACTTTTGATACTTTAAGTACTGGTGTATTTGTTGATTTGACTAATTTACTTTTGTAAGATTGGAGTGCAGTGCCTTTATTTAAAAGTGAGCATTTTCACACTGTGGTATTGCTATTTTACTTGTAGATACAGATAGATCTACAGTACAGTCAAAAGAGCATTAACCAATGCTATTATTAATTGTTATCTGGTCCAGGGATATTATGATTAAGTCGTGAGTGTAGCATTTAAAACGATGAAGAAAAGGGGTTTAGAATTTGACCTTCTTGCTTTGAATTATATTCTCCAAATATGAACAGTTTTCCTTAAACTGAGCAGGCCTACGCTTACTGTGGCTTTAATGCAGTCTTAAGTGAATAACATTCTTCAGTTTGACCAGACGATGGCGCTAAAAACTTACCATTAGTTAGATCTGTTGCACAGAGACGGCTCTCCTTTTAGAATATATGAACAAGCTCACTGATCTCATCAAACAGTCTATAATAAAGTGATGATATACAGACCTAGAGTTACTCATTATTTTAGTCATGTTTTAAAGCAATCTTGTCCACCAGTGAATTCTAACCACTTAGAAAGTAGGTTTAAGAAAGTCCTTGTTTGTGTGGATTGTGTTGTTAGTGGGAACGTAAGAGAACTCATAAGTGTGTGTGTGTGTGTGTGTGTGTGTGTGTGTGTGTGTGTGTGTGGTAGCACTCTAAACTACTGTATAGGCCTTGTTGCCTATTTCATATAAGTTTCTCTGTATTGATAATATGTCAGACGTTCTGGGCTGTGTGAATAATGATCTCATTATACCTAAAATGATTATAAAACAAAAGGGTCTGTAATGATTTTTACCTTAGGTTGAAGTGAATAAACCGATCAAACTATTAGGCTACATTTCATATGCGCTATCGACTTTTTAGGACCGCTGATATTAAAGTTATAACTCATCAAAAATGCGTCTCACTTGTGTGAAACGCACTACACTGCACTAAGCCAGCCAGAAACAGCCAGAGGAAGACCGGAAGTAGGACCGGTTTGCCTTCAAAATAATAATCCAGTAGCTAATACAAATATAATACTAGGCGCTAGAGCGTGTTCATCATGGAGATGAAGGATATCGTCTTCAGCAGACACAGCCCCTGGTTGTGTAGAATCTAGTCAGTGTGGCCACAACATCACACAGCCAGCTACAATAAGGAGGTAGCCAATGAGCATATCTCAGACTACCATTGCCCTAATACGTTGTATTAATTCCAAGTTTATTACTTGTATATTTAGTAGTTTGTATGCTTTTATTTCGAAGTATCTGTAAGGAAATGAGCTGTAATGACGCTCCCTCGACAGGTGTCATCGGCGTGTTTCTCTTCACCGGTGGAGCACAGGAGCGCAGCGTTGCGCAGAGCATGTAGCTGAAACTATAGACGGTGAAGCTGAAGTTTTGGCTTCTTCATAAGAAACCTACACAATATTCATAACATTTAGATCTGATTCGGCTTGTTTGGAGCTAAATGACAAGTAGGCACAGAATTACTCAGTGATACACGGGGCACGATGGAGAGCAAGGGATTACTTCGCTGTAAGATTGTGGTTGTCGGGGATACGCAGTGTGGCAAGACGGCTCTCCTTCACGTTTTTGCCAAAGACTCATATCCAGAGGTAAGAAACAGTATTTCATTAAAATAAATAAATAAACAATCAGGAATGATGGCGCAGCACACGTGCGTAAAATCACTGAGACCAAATGGCACGGCGTCTCCATGCAACCTGACATGTCCAGCAGGAGTTCAAACCTTCATGCATCATTAAGATGGTAACCGACTAATGACTCACAAGGCGTGATCTATTGATTTCATGTATTTTATATTTATAACGCGAACTTAGACGCTGAACATTAGACCATATGCTGCCCAAAGGTGATTTCGTTGGAAAGGTTATATCTGTCTTTATCATGTCATTTTGCTGAATCTGTGATACCTATTATAATGAAAAAATGTCTAAATTAAATGTAGACCTTGAGGCCTCAGGCCGATGTCCATTCAGTGTTCAGTTGCTATAAAAATCTGGACTTTTTGCGCATCGAGCTGAAAAACTGAAAGACCACCGATTTTTCCACAAAAACAAGTGAGCTGACCCGCCTCTGACTCACTACTCGCTTGAGTATCTTAGAGATATGTAAAGAATTAAATGTAGAATTTGAACGTTTTAATAAAATATGGTTGTCTATTGATAACAATTCACAAAATAATCTGCTGGTTTAGTTCATGTAAGTAAACGTTTTAGGCACAAAAATAACATAACACTTAAATAGTTATATACTGGTCAAGAGGAGAAGAAAAATATCTTCAACACACTAACAACAACAGGAAATATATTTAACTGGCAGATATAAATAAGTGTGTTATTCAAAAGAAGGAATATAGATCTGATAAGACTAAAATTTCTTCAGTACTGTAAACATTTCCCCATTTGAACCTCTTAAACTGTTGAAGATAATGAAGTTTAAGCTTGTTGACCAAAATTTCTGAATGTGAAAATAAGTCAAAATTAAGAATTAGTCTCTTGTGCGCTCCATGCACACACACCATCTTCTGCCTACACCACAGCTACTTCAATTCATGACTTTATCCTATCTGAAATAACCTTTAAATTCAGATGTTTCATGTTGTGAAAATCACAACAAATGTCAAAAGGCACACAGCACCACTCTGAGCTTTGATCTAATGTCAGCCTCATATGACTCATTTCAGAATTATGTTCCCACGGTGTTTGAGAATTACACAGCCAGCTTTGAGATCGACAAGCAGAGAATCGAGCTCAACATGTGGGACACTTCAGGTAAGACTCATAAGGGCTTGGTTTCATCCCTGCTTTGTGTGGAAAGGTTATCATGCCAATGAGAGGTGAGCCACATCATCAGCACACGAAGAAGTTACTGTACTATAACTGCCTCCTCATCACCCAGGCTATGGACCAAAAACACGAGCACCCACATTTAGAATGTTCGAAGGACTGGTTTCCATTTTAATAGTATTTTAAATGAGTTGAATTAAGTTTTAGATGTAGACACATCATTGGCAGACAGAACACGTCTGTTTTCATACAGTCTAAATAATTTTACTCCTGTCATCACTTTTAGAGTCAATTTGACACTTACAGTTGGTCTTGAACGGCCACTCCAGAGTTAAATCAGCTTCGTAAGAGGATAAACAATGTGTCATTCAACACTTGCCTGGCTGAAGCAGCTGCATACCTGACTTAGCTTACAGCTACAGTTGGCATCATGTAACATGGATGATTTTTCAGTGTTGATTTTGTTATTCTGAGTTAAACAATGTTGTCTTAGTGCTGTTATGGCTTCAGGGCAGCTGTTAAAACCTGTAAAGTGAAGGCTAACAGGCAGGGACTGTTGATTTTTAGCCTCAGAATCAGTATTTATTTCACATATTGGAGAGAGAATTGGGAGAGTTTGTGGAGCTCTGATTCTTTCAGTCTCTACATGTAAGTTAACTTTCTCCCTTTGTCAGCCATTAGGTCTTTTCACATTTCATTTCATAAGAGCAGAAAACTTGCTCTCACACAACCAGAGAGCAGCTTTAATGCACAGTGGTCCATTAACCTCCACCCATGCAGACAGACAGAAAGACCAGCTAGACAAGCTGGAGATTAAGAGCTGCAGCTGCGGAGGCTGGTGCTGTCTGCTGGTTTGCAGTGGGTGAGGCCGGTCTACTGAGTCTGAGCAACACCCTCTGAAATTACTGGTTGTTTCACACACACACCTTTCTCTCACTGAGTTGTATGGTTGAATAATAATTACACCATGGGAACATTTAAACAGTGATTTACTCCACCCAACAAAAAATATTTAATTCAATCCTTTTGTGTGGTGCGTGTGCCTATATTGTGTCATGTTAATGGCATCTCCGTGCACACGGCAGAGACAGAACATACTGCCTGTGTGAACCTTTATCAGTAAGATGTTAGGTGTTTCTGAAAAAAGCCTCAATGCTGAACAATATTACACTAAACCTTCTCCATAAATAAACTTAGCAAAATCTGTTTCGATCTGATCATATCTGCGACTATGACACAAAGACAGGTGTTACTTTTTATGGGAGGATCTACACCAGCCAAATGGAATGTTTCCAGACTGGTATGTTAACTTTATGAATGGCTTTTTACAAAGTCATAAAGAAATAATAACTGGTTTATTAGTGTTTATATAACCACAGTTTATATAACCATTTGGTATAACTTAGAAAGTCTGCCTAAGCTGTACAAGTAAAAATAAAGTGCCAAGGTTTAAAGGAATAGTTCATCCTTTTGGGTAATATGCCTATTTACTTTCTTGTCTCATGTGTGTAGCACAGTAGTAGTACAAAAACTGGAAACATGGGGAAATAGCTAGTTTAGCTCAGTGCATCTGCCTCAGTAATTAACACATTCAATTTTATCAGTTTGATCCGTACAAAAGCCAAAGTGTAGGAATGAAAACTTGCAGAATAATCTGGCACTTAACCGGCCCATGACCTTTTTAGATCATTTTTAATGAGATATAACTGGTTAATTAGTGAGCTTTTCTGTGTCTTTAGATAGCAGACAGAGCACAAAGCAAATTTTACAGGTGATTCAAGTTGAAATTTGCATGGTTGTGTGCTGATGTGTCTGTTGGTATATTGGTTTTTTGGGGGTGAATAAACACCAAACATGCAGCATTCAAACCTATGCCCTATTTTCTGTCTGAACACACACCTTTAGAGGATTCTTTTTTAAACCTTTAGACAGAGCCAGGTTTGCTCCTTTTCCCTGTTTCTTGTCTTTATGCCAAGTTAAGTGAGTCAAACTTCATATTTACTACATACAGACATGAGAGTGGTAACAGTCTCATTATTTAACACTCAACAAGAAGCAAATAAGCTTATTTTACTAAAATATTTGTTTAATTTAATTGATAGTATTTCTGTCAAGGCAGTAGATCCATGTCTGAACGTTACATAAGCCACAAAGAGAAGATGTGCATTGCCTCTTAGCATCCCCTGCAAGTTATTCTGGGTCTGTCTCAGGAGACAGGTGCATCAACATATACATCAGTATTACTACCACAATTCACCTTGATACCTCTCTCTTCTTAGCGATGGCTCAATATGGGGGTTACAGCCACTTGACATATGTACAAAGGGGGTTTTAGCTGTGAGCTGCTGTAACACTAACTGCATCGTATATGATGTCAAATTTATTCAGAAAGTGCCTTTAACAAAACACATTTGTTGATGGCTTCAGAACATCAGAAGACACAAATACAGATCATAAAAGAACACATTCTTCACAGATATAAGGCCAAAGCACCTGTGTGGGTAAGAGTGAGGATAAGAGAAGAAGAGGGGCAAAGAAGAAGAGAAGGGGCAGGCTGAGCACTTGTCGCAGAGAGCAGAGAGTTAGGCAAGGTGCCAGGACGAGCCTCCGAGCTGCGCCGGCTCATTGTGCAGAAACAAACAGTGGATTTAATTAATCAGGCACTTGCCATGTGACCAAACACTTGCCCCTTGTCTCCTTCATTCTTCATCCTGGTGCACCACCCACTGCCTCTTTCACCTCCCACCTCCTTCCTTTACATCTAAACATGCTTGTTTACAGACTCCCTGTGTCATAGGTTCAGATCTTTCTCTTTATTTCTTTCTTCCTGCCTGACTAAATTCCTCCCTCGTTGAATCTGTGTGTGCTCTTTCTTCACAGAGTCGAGATTATAATCAGAACAAAGTGAGTTAATGTGATTCAAAGTGCGTTGTTGGAAAAAGGAATTATGAAAACAGTAGCCGTTCTGGGGGCTTTATCTTATGGTCTTTGTCAGTAGATAGTTTGTGCAGTTTTCTTAAAACTGTAAAAGTTGAAATTTCCAATTACTTCCTTAGCAATTTAGGGATTTTTTTTATTTTTAATTCATGTTGGTTTAAAAGCTGAGCCTAAGAAAGTCAAGTGAGACTCTCGTTCAAGACCTTTACTGTGTTACAGGGCCAGAATAACTGTCAAATTTTCCAAGGGGGAAAGAACAGACACTGGAGTTTGCATCCATAGTCCTATTGGTTAGGTTTAGGCATCAAATGAATTCTGGTTAAGATTAGGGATTGTATTAAACCAGACCGTGACCTTTCCCTAACTTCAACCAAGTGCTGAGTTTATAGCTTGTACCAGCAACAGAATGAAATACTTCTGAACTGAACTGAATAAAATAATTCCAACCTGCAGGGTGGTTTAACATCTACGAGCTGGCACAATGATAATAACCGCCATCTTAATATTGCCTAAGAAGCTTTGACTGTTTTTCCAATGAAGAAACGCTGCCAATGACGCACAACATCAATCTCCAAGAAACATGGGCAGATCTAGAAAATTTTGGATGAGGTGGCCACACTGAGGCTGAGCCTTAGAGAGGGGTAGCATATTTAAAAACATGTAGAAAGTAAATTAAACCCCCTGGTTCTATGAAATAAAAAAACTAATTATTAAGAACCAAACTATTTATTTTGTGCACAAATGAGATGCACATTGTGCTTTCTTTAGCAAACTTCTTTTGCTCCTCATTTACTCATACGGGGACATCACTGTTGCACAGCAGTTATTGCCTACGAAGCCGTGACTTTGAATGTTTTTCTAATGCATGATTTAATAAAATAAAAATAAAGCGACCATTATCAATTATAAAGTACCAGGTGGCCAATCAGATCCTGTGGGTGGCCGGCGCCATCGCTGGTTTGGCTTCGCTCATAAGAAGGAAACAATTAGACTAACTCTGTCCAAAACCTAGTTATCAAACACTACACTTATTCAGTTAAGTTTGTATTTGCACATACTATTTTTATACTGCAACGTCCTGGGGTTTATAATGCTGATGCTGAAAAGTAATATGCATTTGAAACCAAAGCTCTGTTGGGAAGCACTTACATTTCTGCCTATAACAATTTACTCAAGTAATAAGTCAAATTCTCAGTTGTAAGAAGCTTCTGCAATATTTTAATGTGCAATAGACCATGTGGTGCCATCAAAAGGCAATCGTTACATCGAATCCCCATTAAAGAAAAACTAATTAGTCTCAAATTGGAAGTATTTTTGATTATAATGACACAGCAGTTGTTGTTCTCCTCCACATGAATAAAAGAGCCAGGCTTTAAATTCTGATCCCAGTTGGCCTCGTGCTCTATAACACAGTTTTCATTTCTCTATTTGCTGTTCTCTGCGGCTTTTCTCTCACTCTCTTTAATTCCATCCATTATTTCGAATATCCACTCCGGCTGCCACCCTCTTTCCAGTCCATTTCCTGTTCTCTGTTTCCAGCAAGTCAAGGTCAGGAGTCCCACTGTATTGGGGCAGCACCCTCTCAGCACTCTCGCACTCCATTAGCTGACCTTGCGTCTTCCTTCTCTGTCTCTCTATCTCTTTCTGTCTCTCCCACACTTCTCACTCATTCTTCTCATTTACTCTAAAAATCCTGTTCTCAGTGCTCCCTGTCAGCTCAGACACCACATGCTCTCTTTCTTTATGTGCTGTGTCAATAGAGAAAAAACTTGGTGCTGAGTATAATTTTGCGGTTGATTGATCAGTTTCTAGCTGAAGGATCTTTGTCTAGGATACATGCACGAAGTGGTTTCTGGACATATATGTGCCACTGGTTCTGTGAGGTGTGATTTCATTTTTTTACTAACCAGTAACTTTCCTCTTGCACTAATTCAAATGAAGTCAGAGCTGTTATGACTTCACTTTCACAAGCATCTTTGCTAGTCAATTATCAACCAATTTGCCAATGTAAAACTTAAAAGGGTCATAAATTACATTAATATGTAGAG